CCAATAAGATAAACGGTCCATTGGGGAAGAATGTTGCCTTACATCATCGATTTATTATTATTTTGCCATTATATGCTTTGGATAATAAAAATACTCCCGTGGCGTCTTGAGCAAAAAATGTGATTTCGGCGTGGCAGTAAGGTTTTTTTTTTATTTAGTTGTTTACATTCACAATTTGTCCGAATTTGGACATTTGGTAGAATTTTTTGGCTGGATGGCGGTCAAAGTGTTAAATTTGCGTAGAAGTTCAAAAACGGCCAATTTGACCAGCGCTGGTAGGTTTAGTGTTGACAAAACTCAGTTTTATTTGATAAAACTGAATTAAGGAAAACTCGAGCAACTTTGTCTTTTGAGTTTAGCTTTCGCGGAGATAAAAATAATAAGAGAATAGGTACAATAGAAGCAGGTATCAATGAAGAATTTGGCTAAATACGGCTGGTTGATGCAAAAATGTAAACATTAACTTAAATTGTTTCTATTTGTTACTTAATAATCTGTACATATTGTAGTGATGTATAATGAATAAAACTGAAATGCAGATAATATTGGTGGTAGTTTGATTAAACTTTATGGTACCTTCTTGGAAGTTAAAATACGAATCGACCTTATCGTGGAAATGTAACATTGAGTGGAGTATGAAAAGCAAAGAGTAAATTTACTATCATTAGAGAATGAGTCATTGCTTAGTCAATGCTTAATAAACGCTTGATCGATGATGTCTCTAGTATCTTGGCCAAAGGGTGTATTTGTAGCTTAGAGTTTGTCGTTTTGAGTCAATTCCAAGTGATGAAAATAACTCCTGTCAAATTAATTCATTTGGCGTTTAATTAACGCGATTCTAACGCACTGCAATATTTCTATAATTAAAATTGACTAAATATAAAGGGAATTTAACACGAAATAAGCGAGACTTCGTGTATGTATGTTCTAAATAAAACTTCAAGCAAATTGGTATGTTACACCTAATGATATTCTTAATAATAATGTTTTTTAGCATACTATATAAGAATGATATACAGGGTGGTTGGTAACTGGTGGTACAAGCGGAAAGGGGTGGTTCTACGCGAAAAAAGAAGTCGAAAATATAGAATAAAAATTTTTGTTTCTTTTTTTTTTTTAAATTTTTCCATCGAGACAACGATCTACAGGGAGTTCCGTTATAACGTACCGCATGCGTACCGAGCGAAAATTCGAAGTCGATTTTCTCGAAAACAAAGCCTCAAACGAAAAATTTGTATTCTATATTTTCGACTTCTTTTTTCGCGTAGAATCACCCCCTTTCCGCTTGTACCACCAGTTACCAACTACCCTGTATATAAATCTAAGCTTCCTGAATCTGTAAACCACATTTCAACTCATTAACAAAAGAATATTCCACGATTAGGAAAAATGAACAAAATTGTGAAATCTAAAGAAGAAATAGTAACAGAAAATAAGAATTAAAAATAAATAGTTCTCAAATAAGTAACAATAAATATTCTTTAACATACTATATAAAAATAATATACATAAATCTAAGCTTCCACGAATCTGTTAACTATATTTCAACTCATTAACAAAAGAATATCCCACGATTAGGAAAAAAGAACAAAATTGTGAAATCTAAAGAAGAAATAGTAACAGAAAATAAGAATTAAAAATAAATTGTTCTCAAATAAATAACAATAAATATTCTTTAAGTCATTAACAAAAGAATATCCCACGATTAGGAAAAAGGAACAAAATTGTGAAATCTAAAGAAGAAATAGTAACAGAAAATAAGAATTAAAAATAAATAGTTCTCAAATAAGTATAATATTCTTTAACATACTATATAAAAATAATATATATAAATCTAAGCTTCCACGAATCTGTTAACCATATTTCAATTCATTAACAAAAGAATATCCCACGATTAGGAAAAAAGAACAAAATTGTGAAATCTAAAGAAGAAATAGTAACAGAAAATAAGAATTAAAAATAAATAGTTCTCAAATAAGTATAATATTCTTTAACATACTATATAAAAATAATATATATAAATCTAAGCTTCCACGAATCTGTTAACCATATTTCGACTCATTAACAAAAGAATATCCCACGATTAGGACAAAAGAACAAAATTGTCAAATCTAAAGAACAACCAGTAGCAGAAAAAAAGAATTAAAAATAATAAATTAAAGAACTAAGCAAATCCATCGAACTCGCTTTCACAATCGCGATGTTACGATATATTATAACACTTTAATAGAGTTTCCTGAAATACAACAATTCAACCGTGCAAAATGCATTCGATGTAATGCACAAGTAGCAATGCAAGAGTCTCATGACGAGAAACACGCGTTTTATAAGAAGACATATGAACGACGTAGCTCTAACGTGGCTGCGTTCCAAAAGCGTCAGGCATATTCGCAATTTGTCACACGCAAGGGTTTCGATGGAATAAGAATAACAGAGTGGAATAACATACTATAGGAAGCGCGGCTAAATAAATTCGACGATTTCACGTCGTTGCTCAAGATCGTTTCTCTTTTCTGTTTCAGTTTCTCAAAGTCATCGATGACGTGTTTAGAAAAGGCAGATGGAAGAGCCAAACGGCCTATAACAATACATACAATGTCTAAAACGACGTGCTCGAAGGCGCAAACACGTCAATTATATTGATTTCACAGTTTCGAAACGAGACACGAGGATACGCCGATTAACGCCGAACGTTTGCATTTAAATTATCATTGCAAACAGCTTTTTCGTGCAGAATTTAATCCGGACGTTTGATTGTTACGAGTTATTAAATATCGCTATCTCGTATAATCTTTTTTATCAACTTACAAGAAAATAGCTAGACGTTTTCCTTCTTTTTTTTTTTTCTCTCGTTCGAAAAACGGGATAACATGGATATAAATTGGGGATTAAAATAAATTCTAATTTTAATTAGGTAATATTTTTGTCTGTGTTTTTGCGAAGATTTGATTGCCTCTAAAAATAACAGCAATATTTACGAATAAGTGGTAGCTTTTTAAGTAGTTGCCGGAAAGTTATATGATTTTAATGGGTCGTAAAATTCCTATGAAAGAATCGTAACAACTTTTTCAATGTACAAACACACATATAGCCGGGGACATTAAATTGATTTTTCACCAATGAACCTCGTTACTGTGCCGAGAATATTGCGATAAAAAATTTCGAAATTCAACTGTAAAACGCTTGGTGCTTAAATTGTTCTGGACAAGCTGCAAATCAATATAATTTCAGTTCAAATATTTTTTAATGTTTACTGCCCCAAGTAAAAACCATTCACTGGAAAACAGTAATTTCTACAAATATATTGAGCTGGCAACTAAGTGATTGCGGGATTTGTCAATACCGCCTAATGACAAAATCCGCAATCACTTAGTTGCCAATATATCAGTGTGTACTAAATGCAAGTACTTACACCGGCTATTATAGCAATATTCTTAAACACATTTTGCTATATAGGCTATTTTTTAATTTTTTAAATTCGAATCCAGGACGAAGAACAAGCACTTTGCAAAACGTCTTGCCCTACTGTGGTCCTTTCTTTTTAAGAGCCTTTGGAAGCTTCCAAGAACCCGAGGAATATTTGCAAATGGAGTGCTCAGGTTCTAGTTTGCGGTCAGTACGCTCATATTTTTGCGACCGTGATTCTTGCAAATCACAAACGAAAGTCTGCTTGTCTTGGTGGTATCTGTTGATGTTAAACTTTTGTGGGACAGCCGTCCATTACGGTGATAACGTTGCAGTCATCAGCTCTGCTCGCCTCTGCTTCTCATCTTGGGAAGAAGAAACTGCTTTTAATCTTCAAACGGATCTCTTCTTAACCTTTCGCAACTAGATTTTCCCTTTGTTCCGAGATAAAACTTCCGGTTCATCGGAGACTTTCGTCTCTTCTTACACAAGAGGATTAACGATCGACATATAGCAATTAGCGATCGTTCTAAATAAATTCACCGGCGATCGTTCGTAAGACGAAACGCGTTCGAACTTTCGTCTTCCATTTATTCTCGAAAAATTCGCGACGATGTGTCAAAGATCGAAACGTCGCGCAATAGTCGTCGGAAAGTCCAAACGTCACATGTTAATTCAAGAAAAGGTCAAGAACTGTAATGGAATTTTCCAAATACGAAGACATCGCGCAACGATAGTCTGAGATTCGACAATCGTAAAAAAAATAAAAATGAGGAAAAAAATCAAAATCCTTCGCAACACTACACCACCTATGCAGAAAAAAAATCTGGACGATTTCTCGATTCCACCGATTAGAGACCGTAACGTACGTTTCGCTTTGGAAATCTTCCGAGGCACGGAGCACGGTAGTCGGCCGTAATCTGCCCGTAAACGGTTTAAGTACGCTAATTCTCCGTACCTTGAGAAAACATCTCTCCGACGAAGGCTCTTAGAAACGCTCGTTAGGCTTGCCTTGTAAGCCACGCGATTGCTATACCCGTGACGCCTATACGAGGATATCCGAGAGGCCTTCTGCCGCGCGGTCCGCCGTTGCTTCGATCTGCAGATTCTGTAACACGTAACACGTGAGAATCGAAAGTCGCCACGGAGAATATCGCAACGGACGAAACGATCGAATACGGATACGTATACACGAAGCAAAGGCGATTCGAACACGCGTCTAATACCGATTATACCACGTTTACACGAGCGTCTTCCGTTTCGACGCCGGCGCAACAAATAGACCAACGGCTGGGTTTAGCATGATCGTTAAGGGGGCGAAGCGTGTTTCTCACGGGCGGACGCGCGAACGAACCGTCTACTCGCGTGAATTTAATCGGATCGTCGAGAACGCCGATCCGACCGGATGCTCCGTATCAATCGGCTTGCGTGAACATCGCTGCAAACTGCCGCTAATGAAATCGCGTTGGATTCGAAGGTGATTTCGCTTTCTGCAGGGCCACGATATTCGGCACTCGTTGCGCTGCTTTGTCGCAGGCGTCTTTCTTTTCTTAATTTTTCATTGGAGCAACTTTCTCTTTCGTTATTTTTGTCTATTTTTTTTGTTTGCTTGGGGGAATAGAAATTTTGGGATTTGTCGTGCAGATGTAATTTATTATTTCGTGTTTATAGCGCATTTTATGCCGTTCGTGTCTTATAATGTAAAATACTAGATGAAGTACGTGTTGTAGTTTGTTAAGAATTGAATTAATCAATCGATTAATAAATTAATCGGATCGAATTAGTTCTTACTTGAATGGATTAGTATTAATTAGGATGAGCAATGAGAAGGTTATATGACTCGTAAACTATACAATTTTGTGTATTTTAGGTAATTTAATTTTTTTTTGTTATAACCAACATTCTGATCGACTGCAAATTTCCTTTTGCTACAAAAAAATTTTTTGGAAATCTTGCTGCTATTTTTCTATCTCTTAACATTTTTTTATTACTCTCGTTCAGACGATAGCCACGAATCTACAGATTAAGAATTTCTTAGCAATTTGCGTTTCAGATAATTACGATATCTGATCAGATCAGGTCTGCTATCCGGATGGATATTGTTTTATCTTTTACTTTCCTCACAGTGATCCTATTTCGCGACAGACAAATATTTTTATTTACTAAAAAAATGTTGTATTACAAATAACTTGGAATGAAAGAGTCTTTTTTTATATAGGATTTGCAAATAAGATTTTTTCATGGGACGACGCCTTAAGGAATTTGATATTTTCGTTCAAACAGTTGAGCATTATATCCCATGTTTCCCAAAGATATCCACAAGTGTAGCAAAAATAAACAGCTGCTGGAACAACATGGAGCAGACAAATGGCGGTAACTGAGTGCCGAAATTCACGCTAACGAAAAAAGGGGACACGTGTTTTAATTAACGAGGCCTCAATAAACTGTGAATAAATTTTTCCTGGCGTTCTACGTTTTTAGAAACGCAACCGTACTAATGGACGCATTCGTCATCCGAGGATAAAGCTGTTAAGTCGAAGAGCAAACACATAAGACTGACGAAATTACAATTCGCCATTGTCCGATCAATTACGAACGTAATGCCATAGGCGGAGGAAATATAAAGCTCATGTTATTGCGAACGATCGTGTTCCAAGAAAAACTTATCGATCGTGCTAATAACCGCGTTAAAATCGACCTTAGATCCAACAGTCTAAAAAAAGAACAATTCCTTAAAGCTGGGAAAAGAAGTTAAAGTAAATAAAGGCTAAAAGAGAACCGAAGAATCTGAATACGAAATAAAACACTAACGAAGTGTTTCGAAAAATAAAAGCGAGTCGGGATAGAGAGGTCAACGAATAATTTTACACTCGGTACAAACAGCCGCGCGATGCCAGAGAATCGGAACTAATCTGTGCACGGTTTTATCATCGTGGCGTGGAACGCTCTCTAAAAACCTAGTCGAAAAACCACACGTTATATCCATGGTAATACCGCTGAATACTCGGGGAATTTTGTACCCAGCTCTCTTACTCTCTTCCTCTTTCTTCGTACTTTCTCACCTGCCTACACGGCAGAGTACACGGCGGTATCCTTAGCAGGGACCATTGTGTATACGCATCGTGTATTCACAGCTCCACGAGACAAAAGAGACTACCTCCTTACGTGGTTCGGGAACGACTGGCCCGGGTGAGAGATGAGACTACGTAGTAGTCAAGCGCGGATTCGTAACTCGCCACCCGATTGGTCGGAGCCGCGCGCTCATTGGTCGATTCTCCCGGCGTTTCGACGGCTACTCCACGCGGACTGTATCCTCTATCCTCGTTCCACTCGTTACGAACAGATCGTCGTTTTCGTCCCGCTTATACGATAACCACGTTCCTTCTCTGTTTCTCTATCGGCGGGATATTCAAACGTCATCGTTGCACTCGTGACAGATACGATAGCAACCACGGCCGGCTGTTCTCGAGTCTCTCATTCTCCTTCTCGCAGTCTTTCCTTGCCTCTCGGCTCTTCAATCCTTCTTTCTCTTTCACCCTACTCACCCTTCTCCATCAACGTATCTCTGTTCATCGTTTGGTCGCTTTCTCTCTGTCCCGCGAAAACAGTCTCTCAGCAGCAAAGCAGCGAGATCCCCCGGACGAGATATGAATTCACGTTCCTCCTTTTATATTCCACGCTCGCCTGCCCTCCATTTTGCTTGCTCGAGTCCCTTGTCTGCCTCGCCGATCTGCGACTACCGTATGTGTCGGCTGCACGGCTATCTCACAGGCTTCTCTTCTCTCCTTTTTTTTCCCTCTCTTTCTCGCTCTCGTCCGATCTTCTCCCGCTATATACGCGTATGATCGTGTTGTTCCGACGTCGTCGTAGTCGTCTTCGTCGTCTTTTCCGTTGTCTTCGTCGCCGCTGCCATCGTCGTCTCGTCGTCGTCAAGCTCTCTTGGTCGCCGACGTGTCTTCGTGCTGCTCCGTACGATAGACGCGTATATACCTACTACGAGTAAGTATGTACATGCTTGCACGTATACAATGGCGTGCAAGCGTACATATACACGAATGACATACTGAAATATCTATGTGCTCGTACAAAACGTGGTCAACTGTGGACGCCAAGAAAAAGATACAGGGAATAGGACCGTGCAGTGTTTGCCCTATATGTAACGCAAGAAAGACAGAGATAGCGTTATAGGAAGGAAAAGAACAAGCAAAAGGAAGAAGCAGGCATCTCTATGAGAGAAGATGGAAAAGAGTAGAAAGAGAAACGAAGCGTAAATATTAAAAACAATCCATCAATTAGCGTTAATGCCCGAGCATTAAGCGAGACTGCTGCTCTCTTCTCGCTCTCCGCGGAGACACGTGTTTGTGTATAACTGTGTAACGGTCACACGAACTTCTCCGTCGCGCATCTATGCGTATATGTGTACACACGCGACGACTGGTGGGTATCATTTCGGTTCGTTAGGCGCGGCCTGCTGTCGTATAGGCGTTACGCAGTGTACATACGTCGTGTGCAAGGTATACATATGTAAAATGTACACACGTGCGGTTGCACTACGTCCATCTGTACGTACACATGTATGCAGCCTCTATATGTGCGTACACATGTACGAAGCTGTGTATAGGCACGCCTGGATGTGTGTGTATGTATGTATGTATGTACATACGTGTGTAAGTGACATGTGCATATATATATGCATACGCGTGTTCACATACTCATACGTATATGCGTGTACATGTACATATAAAGAAGTCTGGCCATCGGTTGTCGATGATTCGAATCGTACAAACGTTTCCTCTCGTTGGCTAGCCGCCTCGTAAACGACTGGACGATCATTCGAACGGAAATGCTGGATCGGGACGAAAAGCCGGAATCGAGTCCCACTTGCTTTCCTTACCTGGCAGAATAGCTTCTTCGGGTTACACCTGTGTATACCTAGGTGAGTCAAGTAGGAAAGGAAATGGAAATCCGTTAGGCTGCTGCTAGACGACACGTGATTAACATTTGTGTTCATTGTCTGTATTTTAGGGATTATGTTGGACACAATAGCTTGCCTCGGTGCAATAAATACTTTAATTTTGGTAAATCTCATGAAGTTGTAGAATGGGTGCAAATAAGAGAAAGAGAGAGAGAGAGAGAGAGAAAGAAAGGAATAGGTTGGGAAAAATAATGGCGGGAGAAATTTTAAACCAATCCTTGGAATAAAACAAGAATTTGATGAAAAACAGAATTTGATAATATGGAACGATCGAAAAAATGTACTACCACAGTTACTGAGTTCTCATTTCTAATAGATTAATATGTGTTTGTATATCAGCGTGTATGTATATACGGATTTGTATTTCTTTGTACAATTTGCAATACAGTTTTATATAATATTTGTATTTTCTTTCGTTCAATAAAGTTATTGATGAATAGATCTATGTGGTTATTCGTTATTCAAAAAAATTGCGCGATAAGCATAAACGTCAGAAATAAAAGCGTCACTACTTTACATTTATGGATAGAAATCCGAGAGGTATATACCACAAGGTAAGGGAAAACCCTTCTTGAGATAGCGTACATTCACACGTGTATAGTACGCGCCGATGACACACGCGATACCTCTATTTTCTGATTTATTCGAAGAAGTTTTTATTTCACTTGAATAAGAGATTGCTCGTTATATTCGAGCAACTCCGTTTTATTCGCAACTTTTAATCACAGACCGTAGGAAACAAAATTTTGTTCGAAAAATTTATGTCAAATTTCATTTGAGTGTAATTGTATTTTAACGCCCTATTTAAGATTAAAAAAAAAAAAAGATGTATTCGAGATATTTTATTCGAACCAAGTTTCGTTCGAAAAATTTATTCGAAATTTCATTCGTGTTAGCATTTTATGCGAATAAAGCCCAATTTCGCTGTGGGGACAGTGAGTAGAGAGATTCAGCCGATTTACCAGAGAACAACCGTTTCGTGCATTCCCGAGACTGTTGTCGTACCACCGCTGCGATTAGGTATATTGTGGAGTTCACGAGTTTTGGCTAATCGGGACCATTCTTCGAGCAAAGATTAAAGGGAAATCGCCCTCTGACTTGAAGTTTTACGTGTTCTCCAGTGCTCCACACGTACTAGTATGCAATTGTATGGTTTGCAAAGGAATGGAAAATTCATGGAAAATTCAACGATACGTGAAATTTATAATATATTCGTATACAAAAACGGACCATTCTCTGAATAATCTCCTATCTCGTATATCAGAACGCTGGATGTAAATTACAAAGTATAAAGATAGCACGCTTACTTGATATACAAGGTTAGTACGCTTACTTGATATACAAAGCTAACCTGTTGACTAGTAAAGACAAGTTAACCTTTGAACTTAATAATTAATTTATCCGAGGATATTCCGCTTTTAATGCATCGTTACGTTGCTATTACATTCTGCTATTACACGTACATTATATTATACTCATGTTTTAAAACGTCAAAATGCATCTAGCTAGAGTTAACCCGTGTTTTGTTAATTTTTAATTCCACTTGAAAAAGAAGTCTCTATCTGAAAGGCGACCTAGTTAACAGGTTAAGACAAGGAACGCTAACGAAGGACAATCATGAGCAAGACGTGAGACTTTTAAAGGAAACCGAGCTTGAAAAGTAGGTAGCCGGTATAAAGTATAAACGAATTCTAAAGTGCTAACCACAATCATGCCAACTTTTCTCTTTTATCATTTATGAAAAAGACGACTTTAAATATTGAAAATTCGAGATTGTACGACCGACTTCGTTTTGTTTTTAAATCGTAAACTTTCATAAGAATAATTAAATATTCTCCTACAGTTTCGTTGTAAAAAATATTGCGAATTATAACGAATATCGCGAAGACTGACTACCTTTGTAAGGTTGGCAATTAGAAGCCATTCAATGACAAAAGATAAAAATTAAATAAATAATAAAATAAATAAAATAATAATAACCGAAGCTTCTTTACTATATTTTGAAATTCGCATAGCAAATTAAAATTCCTGTTACACGGTAAAATCCTCTCGATTGTCGATAGATACATAGAATACAATTTTAGGATACAATTTACAAATAGAAAACTACTTATTAAAGCCTTCTATACATACTTCTATCTCTCAGTATGGTAAGTATCCATACTTACCATAAACAATATTTAAAGAATTGCTGGTACCCGCACACGAACACGCTGAACCCAATTTCTGCAGCCTAAAAAATGCCTTAAAACAGGAACAGCTCGTTACATGGAACATTCCTGCTTCTTGATATTTTCTCACATTACAGGTGACCGATATGTTTTCGTTTACCGCGTGGCCTGCTACGTATACGTGGTTACGTGGTCGCAATCGTACGGGACCCCGTGAAAGGATCTCGTTAAGCCTCGCCACGATCGTATTTGGACTTTTTCATCGAATGAACGGTTCACCGGGATCGCATTAATATGGAACCCCGACGACCGGTATAATTAACTCGTCCACAACGCTTATTTATTCGATCGGGCCGTATCGCTATCCGCGTAAAACAGCCTGTCAAACGTGGCCACCGATGAACCTGTTCCGCGTCGGACTGTGTCCAGATAATCCGGTAAGACGTTTAGCCAGCATGTTGGTCAGTTTTAATCGGGATCATCCTGTATCACCAACTTACGTTTCTGTTTTGCTGATTTTATAGGATGGGGCTCCTGATTGAAACGCGCTGAGACGCGCAGGTGCTTTAAATACGACGGCGTTAACGACAGAGGCATGAAATTTGCATCAAAGAAATTTAAATGACAAGTATATGAAAAATGTATAATGCAAGGAGAAAGAAAAGTTTAAGAGTCCCTTATATTCGTTAACCATTTTTGTTAACGCGCTTCTTAATTTCATCAAATAAGTAGATGATTGTTTCGATTTTCAAGAAACGAACGTCCTATTTGTATAAATTTATCGTTGGTCTATTGCAAGAAGATGACGTAAATGATATTAAATTTTGAGATAAACTACGGTAAGCAAGTGCACCAACGAAATGTTACTAACTTCCAAGAAGCATATACAAAAAATATTTTACCCTTTGGAAATCAAAATTCTGGAAATCCTGCTCCTAACGATCACCTCGCGATTACATTATTCTATCATCATGCACAAAAATCTATTACGAATTAAAAAAACCACTGCCGTCCCAAAACGGACGAGCAAATTAATAAACGAAATCCGAAAGAAAAGGAGAAATACAAGTATAAAAGACGAAGGAAATAATGGAGCCTGGAATGAGGAAAAAGAAGAAAGGAAATGAAGAAAGGAAAAGAAGAAGGTGTGGGAAAGAGGCGAGGTTGGAGCATTTGATAGAACACTTTGTGCCTCAAGCGTGGCCAGTGCAACGACATGCATCGGCCGCAGCAAGGGCGACATTATCGCCGGTTGCACACACCGCGCGGCTGCGGATGGTGCGGTATGGTGGTTAGGGGCGGTTAGGGCAGTGCACCACAAGGGTGGTCAAACCGCAAAC